TAAAGTAGAATTTCTTTATTTTTTCTATTTCATTTTTAAATTTTAGATCATGTTTACTAAGATTAAAGTAGATTGTAATTGTAATAATAGATTGTAATAATATTATTATTTTATCTGATAGATTTACCGTGTCTAAATAAAAATAAAGTTCAAGTTCAAGTTCTTGAACTGTTGTCGAAGCTTAAATTGATTTGAACCTGAGGTTTTTTTTATTTAAGACCATGGTATTTTTCTAGAAGTTGCTATGTCTTTCTGTCATTTAGATATTATGTTGTCCTCCGGCAGGTTGAAATTCTTGGATTGCTCATTGCAATTTTAAGAAAAAGCATTCCTAACTTACAAGCAGCAACTAGAATTGGACTGATTGAAAGAGTGCTATGTCGGCTATCGCAGGAAGAAGAAGTAGTTGTAGCAGGTGATAACTGAACAATTAACCACATTTTGTTAATCCTAGTAATATTTGATATCACTCAACCGTAGTAATGGTTCCTTCCCGTTGATTCAAGTTAAAGATTTATTTTTTCTTAGCTGTTGTACTTCTTGAGGTGACCACCATTTCATTTTTTCGTAAAACACTGACATAATTTGTACTAAATGATTGACAGGAATAGAGAAACATGACAAACTTATCAGTTATAGGGGTTTGTTTTAATGTATAGCCAAATTCTTGTCAATAAATGATCCATGAGGAAATGTGCAACTGGTATGCATACTGCACAAGGCAATTGCAAATCAGTTCTCTATAGTTAAAAGATTTGGAGAAAACTCAGAAACGATGCATAATTGTTGCTACAAAGTGTATAATGTAGGTGTCTGCCTTGTGTTAGCGCAGTGATAGATAATTAGGAAGCAAATGACAAAAAAAAAAAAACCAACAAACATTAACAACAACAGCATCAATGACCTAAAAACAAAACAAAACAAACAATGGAAAAATAATGCTGCTACCCTCCCTTCCCTTCCAAAGGCTGGTGACCACTTATTGTGGTGACCATTCATGGGGTCCACTTACTGGGTGGGAGGGGGAGGGGTAATTCTGTTTTTTGTTTTTTCTTTGTATAAGAATTCTTGGACAGGGGCTGCATGTGTATTTCATTCATTCATTTAATTTTTGTTGTCACTGTTTATCTTGTTTTCAGACAAACTTGTGGAGCTCCTTGGTATCTTGTCCAGTTACAGTATCACGGTCAAAGAGTTGAAGACTCTCTTTGTCACTTTGAAGGGTGTAAATGGAAAATGGGTGAGCTTTTTGTCTTCTTTTGGTAAAAAATTGAAATGTAACAAATTTCCAGAGATCAAGTCTTTTTGT